CCAAATTTGAGTCGAAACGCAACAAACTTTTAAAATTACGAGTACTTAGATGTATAAAGAATCTTTCGTCGTACACCGGTAAGCTATTTAAGCAGAATTATACGATAACCTTTGCCAGGGAATCTCGATGCAGTATTTGATCCGAAATACCCAATTGCTGAGTGTTGAGCGCCTCAGCACTAATCACGTCTCCCACGTCGCATTACCCGCAGTCCCCTTTTGCGAATGATTTTTCTCATTGCAACATATGATTTGATTTTAAATAAGTAGCTCCGTTATGATAGTGAGTATTGTTGCTATTTTATTAAGTCAGGCGTTACGAGCTTGATGCACAAAGATGGCACGCACCAGGCTGCGCATACAACGCTGGGAACCTGGCTGGAGAAGCCATGGAGAATGTATATTGATTCCCCGCTTTTTATATTTGTTAACTTACCGTTTTCATTTAAAAGTTTACAACCTCTGCTCAAGTTAGTATTATTTGCTTAAATACACGTTTTTACATTTACATTCAGTAACGAAGCAAGCACACTTAGCTGTTGCAGTAAACTGCTGAAATGGGAATCCGATTTAACGTCCAATATTTAATAAGTCCCAGGGTTAGATTTTTAAAGCCACCAGAAATTGACTATGTCGAAGATGATCTATCGAGTGAGCTCATGTTTTCGTCGTCATTCGTATTGTTTTAACATTTTGGAAGGCATGGAGAGCTAATAGAATGCTATTCTTTATTTCATAATTTAATGATGGCAAATTTTAGGGTGATTAACTTTGCTCTGATTAATATCTAATGTCCTACTACCCCCAAACGTCCCGTGGCTGTCTAACGAGGCGACAGAGGAAAATTGAAACAGGTGATACCAGCGGCATCTTCGTGATAACATCTCAAAATAACAAAAAAAAGCTGCGGTTGCCAGGCGGCCTGCCAAGCGTAGCGCTGTGGCAGATATCCACCCCATGAAGCAATCTGTACGGAGGCCTATGTTCAGCAGTGCACTTTTAAAAGGCTGTAACGGAAATAAAGGTATATTGCTATTGTCATTAGTGACAAGTTTAAACCAAGTGAAGTAGCGGCGGCGCTCGGTGACCGCGTGCTCCGGCGCTCATTCCACGTGAACATTCGCAACCGACTGCGAACATCGAATATCGTTGTTTTTTTTAATAAGAGATAACGACCATTCGGTTAACTTGATGGTGACTACCGCCGCCCACGAACAACTACAATACCTGGGGAGATGCACGTGCGTTGCCAGCCTTTTAAATATTGTAGAGTCGCTGAAGCCGCGAATTGACCCATTGCCACTTCAGCCGTCGTCGAGACGAGAACTCTCCAAATTAACGTTAAAATTCAGTGTACTTCTAACCATGCGGTGATCGCTACCAGTTTTCACCTTCGTGTCACTGAGACATCAATGAATAGTTGTCATCTGGTTGTCATAATGAAGTCAATCTCATTTCTTGTCGTACCGACGGGACACCACCAGGTTCACATCCTGTAGGGCTGCATATGGAAGAAAGAGTTCATCATAAAGAGTCCCCCTTTCTTCATGAAGTCGGCCAGCAGCTAGCCCCTTGGGTTTCGATGCCCTGTTCCGAATTTCCCTACCTTCAGCTCAACGTTTTATCTTGTGCCTAGTTTTGCGTTGAAGTCTCCTGTTAACACCGTATAAAGAGTAGGTTTTGGAGGAATCAGGATGTACCGAGGTTAGTGCGTAAACCTGTTATGACCTTCATTGAAAACGGTTTAGTGATTTTGAGTATAAGGTACGCAACCCTCAACGTTGTTAACGAAAAACTTGTAGACGATAAATCCGACATCCTGGTGATAGAACAAGTTGCCGGATTCGAGAATTACAATTGCTTTCCTTTGAACCTCAGATACTCCTATAATATACCAGCGCTACTTGTCTATCTCTTCTTCAAGCTCCAGGATCTTCTCGTCAGTCCTCTGCGTTAAATATTGCTAGGTCCAGTCGTCTTATGTAGCAACCAAGCCTCCACCGGAGATATTTAGCCCATTCAGTGCCTTGCCCGCCCATGGACGGGCGGATTTCAAAGCTAAATAAGTATGCCAAATAACATGAAAACATAAGATTTTGTCTAATAATACGTTTTATTATGATTGATTCGTCACCAAAACGGCCTGCGGATATCTTAGATTTTAGAAAAGGACAATTCTGACCTGTCAAGACGATCCCGCCCATGGGCGGGTAGTACGCGTAATCAGAGTGAACAAACCTTTTGTTAAAATTTTAATGAAAAACTATAATTTTAGTAGAAATAATAACAAAGTATATTTATATGTAGTGATAATAAAATATAAACTTTATTGTTTGTTGCATCTTATCATTAAAACCAATATAACCATAACAATGTACAAGTTGTTACAAAAAAAAAAAAACGGGTAATCCTTTTAGGGAGTGATTTTATTGCTCAAATGCAACAACTTCTTCTATGGGATCTACATCGAAATCTCAAAATGGCTTCCCAATTCTAAACCGCCGATCAGCTGAGACGAGATTGTGTGGGAAGTAATTTTTTGAGATTTTGATATTAGTCCCATAGAAGAAGTTTTTGTTTTTGAGCAATAGAATCGTTTCCTAAGAGGATTACTCGCTTTTTGTAACACCTTGTAGATAAGACAATAAATTGTCGGTAACTATGAAGTAAGATAAGAATGCAGATGACAACCTACATAATAGGAGCCGATCGGTATTCGTTACTTTGAAAACAGACAAAGTGCCGACACCTATGTTTTGATCACCGACCATATACAAGTTTTCGGTATGATTTATGGTTTAATTTTGGCTAATGACCGATTTCGGATTGTGGCATGACTTAAAAAAAAGCCCTAAAATGTATGCTTTTATATTTAATTTTAGATTTCTTTGTACCAATATGAGCTTAAATCTGTCTTATACGTAGATTGGGATACATTTGCTTAGTCTTAACTGAAATAGCTGAAAGCTTTGCCTTACCTTCACACTCCATTAATAATTCGGTTAACAACAACAATAACAAATGAAACTGGCACAATTTTTTCTCAAATAACACAAAAATGTATGCAAACAAGCTCTACATAACGCACAGAACATGTAAATTAGACATTAAAAATATCTCATGTCGAAATCTAAGGCATCCCGACGAAACCGTAGATGGGCGGGCCAAGATACTTTATCGAGATGCCGGGCCCGCCGATGGGCGGGCTGAATACTAGTATAAGACGGCATGGGGGTAATGTTGTCATTTCTTAGGAAGGCAGTGAATGGGTTAGCACCTTCTGCCCCGCCGTTACCACGGCCGCCAACGTAGCCAGGAATAGCGGGGCAGCTGGAACCAGGGGGCTGCTTATTAGTGTCGTTGCTCACGGTGGAATGTTTGCCATAGTTGCCACGCTTGGCGAGCGGGTTGGCAACCGCTTTTTTTAATGTAATATTGCAGTTATCAGAGAGATGCTGCTGCCCATGTGGCCGGATTCCCTCCGTCGCCTCCTACACCACGGGCTGTGTGGGTAGCGGATATTCCTGACCGCCACCACACGGCCATCTGTAAGACAAGTCAAATGCGTAGTAGCAGTATTTATATAAAGATGGTAAATAAAACACATATTGCGTACAACGCACATTATATTTGCCATTTCTCACTTTCTCCGTTGCTTACAAAACGCGCCACACACTGCGCGCGGTATAAATATAATAAATTAACATTTCTTCATGTACAATACATTTGTCTAACCGACGCGATTGCGCCGCTGTACGTGTAGCCGGTGCGACAAAAAATTCAATCAAAAATGTTGTAAAAGTAGTCGACAACAATTCTCCATAAAATATAATTAAGTAGTAACCACACGTACACCGATGGCTCGCGCTCACATGTTTATAAATTCAGCGGTAACGCATACATTCCGATGCGATTTATCACTATCGAGATGCGACCTGCAAACCCTACCCTACGTACGAACGCATGGAAACTATGAGGGTATTCACGACAGTTTTTGCCACCAGGGTGCCACATAGGGACAAGATGAACAATTCGACAAATTACATGGCGGTGAAGTTAATTTATTAGGAAAATGTAAGGGTTCATGTTTCTTTCTGCAATATAAGTTACATTTTATACTAATTAGATTAGAAACACATGAAACAAAGTATGTACAGATACTGCTTGAATTAGAAAAAAAAAGGAAAAGAATAAAAAATATGTGAAAATAATAAGGAATAAACCACTGAGGTATTGGTTTGTGTAGAAACCAATAAAATTTTATTTAAATCGCAACTTTCTTTCAATTATATGACATTATGTAACAAAAAACTTCACCTACTCGTACGTCCCATCAAGCGATATCTGCTGAACGGAAGATATTCAGCCCTCGTTGTAAAGCCCTCGTTTGGATCAGTGGACCTCAGTGTCCAAGCAATAACAAACAATAACTGAACTGGTCGCGGTCGAACCTTCCATAAGTAGTAGTTATCTTGTACTAGAAAACTTTTAACTAATTTATTCCGTAAATATCACGAAATGTACACAGATTATGTATAAACTATTTTAATACATTCGATTTAATAATTAAATCAATAAAACAATTCAATGAAGCAAATAAGTCGATGCACAATAAAAACATGAAAAACATTGTGACCACTTATTTCACGGCAGTTCTCGCGTATGCGTACGTCTTGGTTGGATCATTACTTGATCAATACGAACTGAATCTATATTTTATTTAAGCCAATAATTTTTAAGTATTTAAATATAATTCAAAAGTTTTATAATTACGAAACTGCTGTAGCACCTTGGCTTAATTTTTAGAATATCGTCCATTCCGCAACTTAGCATTGTAACTTGACATCCAAGGAAAATGAACCAACCACAGTTTTCGATTTACAAACAGGTATGTATAAAAACTTAATAGCGAGGTATAAGAAATCATAATCTAGTGAATGTTTGCAGCATAGTCGTAGTGCATCAGACGTAAGGTGGCGCCAGCGACGTGCGCGTGCGCACTACATCGCGTCGCTCCTGCGACAGTCAACGTAATACACAGTTACTACTTAGACTTATGAGATACATTAAATTTACTTATGTACATAACATAACCTGTTAAATGCAAACATTACCGTGCAATTGCGGTGCGGTGTAAGAATATCCACTGCCCCATAGTATCATCTCGTGGGTGTCGTGAGAGGCGACAGAGCGAGCCGCGTCAGGAGAAAGGAAGATGAAGCGTCTTCCTCATAACGACTAAAAATAAAAACTGCGGCTTCCAACCTGCCAACCAAGGCCAAGCGTGGCAACTGTGGCAATATCCTCCAACGATGCAATCCACGGGGAAGGCCTGTGTTTAGCACTAGACTAGTTTAACAGGCCGTAACGGTAGCCTACTGAATAAATATCAGTCAGGTCACGATACTTACGGTACCTCCGCCTTAATAACAATCTCTGATGACATTACAAAGGAAGAAGAGAGAAGAAGCTTATTGTGATAATGCTTGTTGACTTTTCAAACGCTTTTAACACATTCGACCACGATATCCTCATATTCTGCCTAACAAATCTTAGTTTCTCAATCCCAGCTTTGCAATTATTTGCATACAAGGTGAAATTTGCGTGCATAATATTCACGTCATTTCTCAAATCACCATTACTATCGTCAGGTTTACCGAATATTCGTATTCGGCCAAATATTCGGCTAAATCACCAAACATTCTTTGAAGTTGTACTCAGTGTCCATTATATTTAAACAGTACGAATTGATTAATGCCATGTCTTTCAAAATTTTACTGTTGAAAGTATATTTTATTTATGGGTTAAATCTACTCGTATAGTGTTATGTTTTTGAGACACTCAGACACTATTTCTAATTATAGCAAGTATAAAGCTCGATAAAATGTTTTGGGATCAAACGAAGAAATATTACATTACATTAGTACACTTCACTTTATTTTGGTAGTCAGTTTCTCTAAAATATGTCCAAATAGTAGATCTCCTGCCACTCATTTTATCATTTATTTGTCAATTTTTCACTAAGAATAACACAACGAAATACTTTTTTTCTCACAAAAATAGTGAAAACATAAGTATGTGCCGGCAAATTGCTCAGTACTATAGTACGTGCCAAATCGATTGAGAAAAACGGTTTAACCAGGGGCTACAAACCTTCAATATATAGGCACTTTTTATGTGTAGTACTTTCTTTATTTGTAATGACTTTTTTATAATGATTGATATAATATACATTTATTAACTATTTATTATATTTGAAAAGGACGAAGAGAGAACCAAATGTGAAATATGGGTAAATCAGGAATGTCTAGAACAGGTAAATGAAATTGTATACTTAAGGAGTGCTTTCAGCCGGGATGGAAGATGTGATTTAGATGTGGATAGGCGTGTCGCTGCCGGAAACAAAGTCAATGGTGCCCTGAATGCATTAGTCAAAAGGCAAGGCGTGGTGAAGAGTGCACGCCTTGCAATACATAACGCAGTGTTGGTACCGACTTTGTTATATGGCAGCGAAACCTGGGTATGCCAGAAGAAGCATAAAAACAAGTTGAATGCAGTGGAGATGCGATCTCTTCGTAAAATATGTGGCGTTACCATAGCCGATCGAAAGCGAAACGAAGAGATTCGTAATATGGCAGGATTGAAAGACGACTTTATCACAAAAATTGATAGGGGCGTACTCCAATGGTTTGGGCACGTTGAGCGAATGAGTGAAGACCGAATGGTGAAGAAAATATATAGAGCGAAAGTAAATATTAAAAGGTGTCGAGGTAGACCGAGACTAACTTTCGAAGACCATGTGAGCAAATTGCTCGAAGAGGGGAAGGTCAAGAGTACTCGGATACCTAGACGTGCATGTATGAAGAAGTTAATGAACCTGAAAGAAGCGAAAGAGGTTTGTAAGGATCGTGACACTTGGCGATCTGTTCTCTCTGATTACCCCGTTAGGGATTGTGCATGAAGATAAATAAAAATAAAATGTATTAACTATTATTAAAAAGTTATGTAAAAGATTGCTATAGAAGAAAAATCATCTATTGTTATAAAGTAAAAATATACTTTATTCATTTAACAACAAAAAGCGTTAATTTATAACATATATAAAGTATCTAATGATAACGACACCGAATAAGTACGTACTTATTCAAAAGGTAAAACTTTATTTTTAATATTATATTTGAACTTTATTTTTATTCGGTGCATGCGGACCGGCCCAAAAAAAGTGACGCATCTCTGGCTGCCATTGTCACGTTTCTTTTAGAACGAACTGACGTAACGCACGTTTTGTTTATTTTAAAGGGATGAATTTGCAAAAGCTCAATATGGTGATCATATTGCTTCAAATATTTTTTTAATATGAAACTATTATTAAATTAATTGCTGCGTTACTTACCATAAATTGAAATATAAAATATAACACATTTTTCGCGATGTACCGTAAGATATTACGATGTTTAGAGGAACCACAGACAATATTATTTAAGAAACAAAAAAAAAACAAACATATGTGCTGACCTAGAAGTGTGAATAATATCAATATTTAAATATTGTTATCACATCTAAATTGAGATTTTGTAAGTTACGCCTTTTGACACTCAGCTCATATCTGAGGTCATTGTCCGTTTTTTTCAATCGATTTGGCATATACTATAGATGAGGCATATACAATAACTTGTCAGGTGAGGCGGGAGAGCGAGGGGAAGGGTCCGGCGCTAATCCGCGTGCTTTACAGTAACAAGTTTCGACAATAAATTGGTTAACCCTGCCGAATAATGTTCGGCCGGATATTTGATTCGGTAAAAGTTTTACTGAACCTTCGGCAGAATATTCGTATTCGGCCCATCTCTAACCATCACCATCATTACAGCACATCACAAGACATTTTTGTAATTTGGAGAAACGCTTGTACTAGTTTCATAATGTAATCTGATGATTCTTATGATCATTCAACATTTAATACACACTGGTGATGCCGTGAGACTTCTCCCAGCCAGGAATCATATTGACTCTCTATACAAAATTTATCAGCCACCTGGGAAAAAAGTGCGTCCAAACTTTTTAATTTCCTGGATTTTTTTTGCCAAACAAGTCTTGTATAAAAGGTCACTCAGAACATTAGGGATATAGGAGGGACAATTTTAAATGGGGCCCATATTATTGTTTTTGTAACAGCAGGCACATTGTTTTACACCGCGCAACCTTTGTCTGTGATGTTTAGAACTAGAAATTAAAAGTAGGTTTATTGTGAACGGTATCGTAATGTGAAACGTTAACTTTTTGAGTGCCTATAATTGTTATTGTTTTTTGAATTATTTTGTAACAGGAATTTGTTATATTAAAAACTAATTAAAAGTTTTTAATACAAAATTATTAACAGTTAAAGTTACAGGCTATACAAAAAAAATACGTGTGGCACTCGGTGACTGCCGCGGTAAAGCTATTGCATAGCATTTTTTATCAACTTATGCAATTATAATTATTTATTTATTTTATTTATGCAGTTAAGTCTTTGATATTAAATCAAGTTACACTTTTTGAGCGTGGTGACCGATAAGAAAACAATTTTTATTCTCTTATTGAATAAATGAGAAGTTAATATTGTTTAAAATATTTCTAATATCTTACAATACATGTAGGTTATTCAGGAATTTTTATCATTGAGTTAGCAGCTAGTGTACACGCATACGTCTAGTCGCACGCACACAAACACCGTGCCGAAGTCTGCCGAGGAAGTGGAACTGAAACGACGTTAGACGATGCACGGCTTTCAACGCCCCACATCCGTGTCCGTCGGAGTGGGGAGCGTGAGGTTTTTTTTTCATAAACATACATACATACATAAACACTCACGCCTGTCACCCAGAGGGGTAGGCAGAGACTACAGATTTCCATTTGGCACGATCCTGACACACCTCTCTCGCCTCCTTCATATCCATACACCTACGCATACATGCTCGTCGGTTAAGGGTACTACTATTTTGGCTCGTTTCCAATAAATCGCCAATTTGGTCGATAAATTTTCGCCTAGGACGTCCCTTTCCGACTCTGCCATTCACTTCTGCAACATAAATTTTCTTTGTCACTCTTTCCTCTCAACATCATCTTGCAAACCACACTCTTCTCTTATTACACAATTTCTTACCCTGTCATTCAGATTCAGCCCTAACGTACTCCTTAACGACTGCATTTCTATTGCGTTTATTCTACTCTCGTGCTTCTTCTGCCACACCCAACTTTCACTACCATACGTTAAAGTAGGGACCAACACAGCATTGTGAATTGCCATACGTGCCTTTTTCGACACATTTTGACTCTTCACAATAGAGTGCAAGGCCCCATTTACTCTATTTCCCGCATTCACTCGTCGTTCTATATCCTTATCATATCTCCCATCCCTGCTAAATACGCAGCCCAAATATACAAACTCATCTACTTGCTCGATATACTCCCCTTCTATTCTTATTTCACAAATCGTTTTACTTTCTTCTCTTTCAAAAACCATAACCTTCGTCTTACTTACGTTCACTTTCATACCCCTTTCTTTTAATGATCCGTTCATTAATGTAACCATCATTTGCAACTCGGCCGCCGACGACGCAAGAATGACTTGACTTGTTTTTTTTTCGTTACGGAATTTCTTGATTCGGTCCCCGCGCTCAAGGCCCGCGATAGAAGCTATGCAATAGCTTAAAAACAACGGAAGAAAATCTTTTGACCATTGAATAATAGGGGTGATTAGGGCCGAAATCAGTTGGGTTGTCTGTCGAGAAATTGTCAGTAGCAGTCAGTTACATCCCCGTGTCTCAGAAAGCACTTAAGCCGTTGGTTCTGCGTCTTTTCTTTTTTTATTTATTTATTAGGAAACTCAACAGCATTTTTTTACAAACATATTTCAAAAAATAATATATAGTACACTTAGCCAATAACAGAGTTTCACAACATGCTGAATAACACTTTCGAAGCGGAGAGGTCAATTTGTATTATTATATGTATATTTTCTCTCTTAATTTATGTCA